TTTTTCTTCTAACTCATTGTAATCTCTTAGCCAGGACGGACCTTCCCACCACGTAGAATGCGCTTTTAATTGAGATGCTGTTAACCCTCTACTGGCGCAATCGGCGGGGTTTTGTTCCGATTTTACATAACGCCAGCACTTTCGCGGCATTACTTTAACTATTTCTTTCACGCGATTAGCAACGAAAGTCTTCCAAAACGATGGATCTCTGTTGAGCCACCCTAAAACAATCATTGAGTCACACCACCCATAAATTTTGATATCGTATCCTTTTAAACATTCTTTTGCCTTTGACATTAATTTTGATAGAAGTAGAGCTCCGCTCAACTCCAATTTGGGTAGAGAGAGTTTTGTGCTTGTAGGAACTAATCTTGATTTCCCTACTAATAACATTATTGTTGTATTTGAGCCCCTTTTGATTCTACAGTATATAACGCAAGCGTAAGCTTTATTCGATGAATCACAAAACCCGTGCAATTCAATTGTGTCGCCTTCTCGGGTTTCAATCCAACGTGGTATTTGTATTTTATTGATATTAATAATGTCACCTTTTATTTTATCCCATTCTGATTTTATTTGATCGGGCAATTGATCATCCCATTTGATATTTGATAGCCACACATTTTGGAAGACAATTTTCAACTTTGTGGAAAGTGGTGATAACCAACCGAGGGGGTCAAATAATTTCGATATATTTGATAATAAAGAGCGTTTGGTTTCGCAATCGTTAGATATATCAATTTTTGACTCGAAAAGGAAAACGTCTTTATGTGGATTCCAGCTCAATCCGAGAGTTTTTGTTTGCTCAGCTCCCTTGAAATTAAAACTTTGATAAGATGATTCACTATAGGAATCTGATATCTCCGGTGCGTTTGATCTCCATTTTCTTAAATTAAAACCTCCTAATTTAAGTAGTTTGATTAAATCTTCATGAAGTTGTTTTGCTGATTCAATACTATGGACCCCATGGACCAGATCGTCCATGTAAAATGATTGTTCCAACACCTCCGGGGCCATACTACTGGGAAAATTTGATCTTTCATCTGAAGCCAGTTGCTTTAAGGTCATCATAGCTAGGTATGGGGCTGCTTTGGTTCCATATGTCACGGTGGTTAAATGATATTCCTTTAGAGGCTCGTTGATAGAGTTGCGCCAAATTATCTTTTGATACTGTTGATCTTTTTCATTAACCCAGATTTGGCGGAACATTTTCTCTAAATCTGCAGTAAATCCAAATTGATATTGTCTCCACTTGATGATTAGAGACTGGAGATCCTGTTGCAGATTAGGTCCAGCTTCCATCACGTCATTTAAACTTTGTCCAGATGATGTTTTAGATGACCCATTAAAGACAACTCTAAATTTTGTTGTGGTCGACTCTGCTCGTTCTACGCTGTGATGAGTCAGGTAGAAATCGGGTTTTACTGTCGGGCCACTAGATAGTTTCATATGTCCTAAGGAATCATATTCGTTCATGAATGATTTGTATTCTGTATACATTTTTTCGTTACGAATGAATTTGCGTTCTAATGATCGAAATTGTGCAATAGCTTTATTTTTTGATTCACCTAAATTTTCTGTAAAATTCTGTTTTAGTGGAAGTCTTACTTCATAGCGCCCATCATCTCGTCTGATTGTCGTATCTTTATAATACTGCAAGCATTGCTGATTTTCTATTGATAAGGGAGAGTCGCCAGTAATATCTTCGACTTCCCAGAACTTTTGAATTTCGTCCAAATTATTCAATATAACATTACATTGTATCGTCTTGACGTTACCGCTTAAAATCCAGCCCAAACGCGTATTTTGTGCTAGGGGTGTCTCGTTACTTATTTTACATATGCCTTCTAATAATATCAATGAATAAATGTCAGCGCCGAGTAATAAATCTACGGGGCGGCTAAAATTAAATTCGGGATCTGCTAATGTTATATTGTGTAAATAAGACCATGTTGGCTTTTTAAATGATTGGCTGGGTAAGTTTTTTATTAAACTGTTCATTATGAGTACGTCTGTTTCAAATTCAAATTCATTGTTAGTTGACGAACATTTGATATGTATCATCCCCTTGCAGTTGTTTTCATTCGCACCTATTCCGGAAATGACTCCTTGACATTTACGTCGAGGCAACCCTAACCGCTGCACTGCATTCTCAGTTATAAGCGACGCTTGCGATCCTTGATCTAACAAAGCCCTTAACTCCATGTATGATCCGTCAAAAGATTGTACCTTTATTATCGCTGTTGCCAAAAGTATCTCTGGGATTTCAGGTTGTAAAGACACATGAGAGTTGCTGCGTACTGTTGGCGACGGCTCCGGGCGTGCGGTGTTTTGAAATTTTCTGAAGTTCGAAGTGTTGGATGGTTTATCGGATAGAGTGAATGCATCATGTAATAGAGTGTTATGAGCCTGATTACACTCACGGCATTTTTTATCCGAAATACATGCTTTACCATAATGGCAATAGAGGCAATTTTGACATATATTGAACCTTGATATTGTTTTGCGTTTTGATACTGCATCCATGTCTAAAAATTGTTTACAAAAGAAAACTCCGTGATCATCGCTTTTACAAATGGGACATTTATAATATTTCGTAGCGTAAACATTTTTATTATTGTAAAATGATTGCGAAATGTTGCGGCTCTGGGCCGGAAATGATTGCTTAATGTTAGAATGAATATTGAGTTGTTTATGATAGTTTGGACTCGATGTGGCATTAAAATTATGATTTCTTATGATTGACTTAGACGAGTGTTCTTGTTTACGTCGAGAAGTTTCCATGGTGGTAAACTTGTTCTCCAAAAATATTAAAAACTCTGATATATTAGGTATTTCTCTCGGCTGTTTCACTGATGATATGTACTCACTGTGGGTCTCAGTATCTAATTTTTGACAAAGAATATAAATTAGTAGGGGATCCCACGAGTCAACCATTACTCCTAAATTTTTGATGGCGTTTAGGGTTTCACGTGTAGTATCATGAATCCGTTTTAAATGATTGATTGATACTTGTTGTATAGCTGGAATACTAAATAGAATATCAAAATGTGAGTTGAGAATTAATTTCTTATTATCGTACCTATGCGTCAGTATATCCCAGCAAACGGTATAATTTTCAGATGATATTGATAAATGTTGAATGAGTCGCTCAGCTTCACCTTTGACCTTTGATTTTAAAAATTGCATTCGTTGAGCGTTTGACAGTGACGGGTTGTTGTGTATAGTTTCGACAAAAAGATCCTTGAAAGAAGTCCACTGATGGTAGCTTCCACTAAATGAAGGTAACTCTATATGAGGTGTCGATTGTTCACGGTGTGATACGGACCACAATTTCCTATTAATTGACTTGATAACTTCGTTATACTTTCGTTCAAATCTAAAATATACAGCTTCGTAATCTGGATCCCTACTTCCCAACTCACTGTCTAGCTCCCAATGTAGAGAATCTATTGCTGACCAACGAGTTTGAATTACACGCAACAAATGATCGAACTCCCATTTTTCAGTGATATTATCTAGGTTGATATTACAAATAGTATGTTCAAACGCCTTAAAGTGACTACTCTGTTTCCTTAACATTTCGTCAGTCTTACTACTCATGCCTTGTGATCGTGATGAAGTACCTTGCTCTGCTATTTGATGAGAACTCGGTATAGTCATGGGCGTAGCTGGCTTGATAACTGGAGTGGAAGGTCTGCTGCCCTCATCTCTCGGTTGATAATTTTGAATAGTCGCCCTTATGTTTGAAAACCTATCTTTTACTATCTCATACTGATTTGAAGTAAAGTATTGATGAGTTTTATTCCCAAAACCACACAGCTTAACATGATTCGATTGATATTCATGCCAATAAGAATCTAAAGTTTCGAGACGTTGTTTGATATAGGTAACGGTTTTCCTATCCGAACCGTCCTTCTTAAAATTAGTGTAAATTTGCTCAATAGCAGATGACAGCTGCTCCTGAGTTTGTAGAAAATCTTCCATGCTGGACATTTTGATATAATGTAGTAAAAATAACTAAATGATACGCCTTACTTGTTTCGATGATACTGATCGATCGTGATTGCAAGTTACTCACGATCCCTAACGCTGCTTCTTGAAGTTTCTTCGATAACTTCAGTGAAAGTCCACCTCACTTGTGACACAGAGTCACTATTTTCTGAGTTCACGTTTGCACTGAGTCACTCGCGAGGCCCTTATTCGAAGGACCAAAAAAGATGTACGGTTCGTACACCTTTTTATGATAGAGAGAGAGAAGTAAAAGTCTTGATATATTATAATTGATATATTGTAACAAGTAAACTAAAATTACTGATATATGGAATGATAATGATATGAGTACGCGCGGCGTGATTGATTACCGATGACGAACTAACTACAAATTGACCTAAATTAATGAATGTAGCGTAAAATGATTACTAGACAAAACTGTACGAGTTGGCTCGTACATATATTAAGGCTATTTCGAAGCAGCTGCCGATTTCTTCTACGGTCTGATCGTTCTTTACTGAGAGCTGACTCGATTAATAGTAATATAGACCCTATTTCGAAAATAAAAAATTGCTAACGAAAATGAAAAGGTAACATTTTTTACTTCGTCAATTTGAGGTAAGAATTCCGAACAATTAGATGTCAAACTCAAATGTTCGTTTTGTCATTTCGTGAAATAGAGTAGGTTTAGAAAATAAATATGTCAAACATTTTCGTTCGTTGAATATTCGGAACGAACGTAATTGTGGTAGGAAACGTCCGAAATTTCGAACGATATTTCGTTTTTCGGTGAATTAGAGTAGGCTTCCTGTATAGAAATGAAGAAAAACGACGAAAAAACAAAATAGAACGATACAGGATAAAAAATAGAATAGAAAAAAGAAACTCTAACCTACATCTAAAATTATGCAAATATTAATAACGCTTGCTAATTGATACTTAGGAATATTGTAATTATAATTAATGCTTTTTAAATTAAAAATATAATTTAACAGCAACCAACACAGATGTGGTGGTTAGTTGGCCCAACTAAATGCCAAGAGAAAAGGCTACTGGAGTTGTCAGACGTAAATAATGTAGTAAAGTCCTAAATCTAAGAGCGTGTAATCATATTACGAACTATATTCTATATATTCCATGGCTGCGTTTTGGTCTTGTGTTAACTTGCAACTTTCACAGGGGTCAGTCACGGGATGGGTGACTAAAAATTATCTCGAGCTACTCCGTGCTTCGCAAGGTACGTTAAGCTGTTGCTCCGGCTACATTTGCAGCCGTTAATGCCATCCTATTTGCATTGGGCCAGCGTGGACTGTCAAGGCGAACAACGGAGTAGTTTTTAACCACACATAAGGAAGGTCTGAGCCCCTGCATTAGAGTTGTATAAGGGTTGATGATGATGAAGTCACGAATGAAATAATTTGACAAAAGTTGACTTATTGTTTTTTTTAAATATATAAAACCGTCATACGTTAATAAATAACATTCATATTTTGTACTCAGGAGGAGAAAGATCAACTGCTGACAACGAATTGCTGGATCACACAGGTGTGGACCGATCACCACCTGAGGTGGAACACTAGCGACTTCGACGGCATCGACGTCATCAGAATACCGTATGAAAGAGTCTGGAAGCCCGATATTATACTGTACAATAAGTAAGTTTTATTGTGTGTTTACTACTTAATTGACTATGATCGGAAATACATAGTTAGATTACCATGTTAGGGTAAAGTAAATATGTTTTTTTATAATGCTGTTTGGTATTGAAATTAACAGCCAAATAAAAAATGCAAATTAAATGTTTGACTGCATCGTATAAAGACAAAATTGTAACAATTGTAGATTTATTTTTTAAATTTTTATGATGTTTTCCATCTTCCAGTAACACAAAGTGTGTGCATTACTACTTCACAATAATCTACATAAAAACAGTCGAATTTCAAGTGTAACTTTCTAATTGGTCTTCGAATTTATTTTTAATTACAATCTCTTTGGATTGTTGTTCAAAATGAATTTGATATTAGTGATTTACTGTACGCACCCACTTAGCTGAAAACCCTTTGAACGGGCTTTGGAGCACTTTAATATTACTTTTATATTTCCAGACGTCTCGAATCCTTTTTAAGATCGTGTTAAAACATTTAAAATTGAAATTTCAGAACAATCATCTCGTCTAACATTGTTTCACAAAACATTTTTAACCCCAGGGAAGGTCTTGTTGTCTACAGTAATTAATTTACGCAATAACGATTTTTTAACAACAAAATATTTTTTTAAATAAAGATTAATAGGATGATAGGCATTAAAATTGACATGTCATAACAATGCCAAAAATACACATATGTGACAACATTTCAATTTCAATGTATCTCCGTTATTTATTGTTTACAAAAAATTACAAGTGCGAGTCGGTCTCATGTACGATTGGTTCCGTACCATTATCTACGAAAATTGGGGAAACACGTTTGTTGTATGGGAATCTCCTTAAATATCTATTTTATTTCATTTTTTGCCCGACTGCAAAGAAAGGTTATTGTATGTATGTATGTAACATTCTTTATTACCTCAAGTATTTAGAACGGTTGAACAGATTTAGATAATTAATGAGGTCTTAGATATTGATAAAAACAAATGTGGCGTCTGTGTGACGCCATTATTTTTAATGATTTTTTTGTTTACAAGGATTCCAAAAAGTTTATCATGATTATCGTTGCCATAATACTACTAAAAATAATACAATAATAAAGTTTTAAAATATGGACTTCGATCTTTCACTTTCTGAACCAACTTGGTAATTTGTTTAACTAAAAAGATATAAATAAAATTATATTATTTTAGTTAGTTGTTATTAACGTAGGCGGGTTTTTTGTTTTTTTTTTTTTATTAATTGTTGATGTAGCAGCGACAGAAATACATCATCTGTGAAAACTTTAACTGTCTAACTATCGAGATCGAAGTACTGGCTGATGATAGACGGGCGCACAGTGGAGTCTCAGTAACAGGGTCACATTTTACAAAAATATGAGTTTTATACTTTTTAATGATCTCCTTGTTTTTTTTTTAATTTTTCTCCCATGTTTTGCCAGGTGACTTTGTATTAATCTAACGAACAGATTTAATACAATTTTCGTTGATTTAAGAGAAAGGTTTATATGTATGTATAAATACGCGGACAAAGCCGCTGGCGGAAAGCTATTTTTAATAAAATATGCATTTATTTATGTGAAACAGCTGAAAATTGCCCAAAATAAAAAAATAAATCAAGGAGAACTAAATCGTGGCTTGTCAGTTGAAACGTGTCAACATTAATCTTTTACGATTGAGTGCCGCGATCAGGGAGTTTTCCGGTAAATGTTTTAAGGGAAACAATAAAGAAATATGGTAATATTTCGATATTTTAAAGGAGCTTTACTGCTTCGTAACGTTTGTTTGTACAAACATTCGGATAACAATTTACGATCAAAGTAATACCGGCTGAATGCGGATCATACCAGGAGTCAGCTATTCAACAACGGCTATGCTATTCTATTAAAAAACACCTGGAACTTGACGTCGAGTGCAGTGCTGTCATAGTAAGGAGATTCCATAAAATAAAACCTACTTCAAAAGGTGGTGAAGGTGTTGTTTTATTTTACAAACCCAGTTGTGTTTCCTGCGATATCACTCGCATAAAAAATAGCCTTTACTTCCCTTATATAAAGCAGATGAAAGAATTTCTAAAAGCGATCCAGTTGATTTGGAACTTATTCAGTGCAAAATTTAAAAGTAATATTTATATATATAAGCATTGTAGGGCGTAAAGTGTGCTTTAATTCAGAAGTTAACATTCCAAATTTGTCTCTCTGTAATTTCTATTGGAGTAATTTAAACAAACTCGCTTATAGCAATATAACGAGTTTTTTAAATTGAAATTGCCAACAAGAATGCCAACTTCATTAATTAACAATATACGAATTTACATTTTTTAAATCAACAATTGCAGAAGGTGATATTAAGTAATTTCAAACTCGATACTTTAGAAAGCCACTATATTTATTAATATTATAAACAGGAAAGATTTGATTGATTGTTTGTTTGCATACACAATAAGCTCAGAAACTACTATACAGATTTTGAAAATTATTTCATCTACAGAAAGTTTTATCATACGCGGATATAAAGCTATAATTTACGCGGACGAAGTGGTATAAAAATAGCTGGTGATGGCATAAAAGGGTGTTGCTGGGGTCTTATTATCAAGCTATTCGATAATCATATTTGCTAAGCTGCTGAGCAAAGAATTTGACGATCCCAACCGCAGGCAAGATAAAAGTTAAATCGGTCGTAACGTAAACATTGGCTGTATTAAAATTTGTTTAACTGAACGTTTCCGATATATAAAATATATATTCTTTTTTTGGTTATTTTATTATAGATACAATGGCTATATTATATCCTATTGTAAGGACATTCTAAATTTCTTTGAATAAAATTCAACTAGAGAGGGTTTAATAAACATTTTGCGTTTTGTTAAAACTACTTATCTAAACTATGTCTTAAAATAATAACTATACTAAATAAAAAGTGTCTCCCAGATCATTGCCTAAATTTGAAGTTTTTGTTTAAAATTCACTTGAAAAATAACTAAGAGATTGTTGTTAGAATTACCAGACTAAAAACATGTTGTTTTCATTTTAAAATTAAAATGAAATCACCCAGTTGCATACATGTTCATTAAAGTTTAATTACAACTTTAAGCTCTGCAGAATATTTGAAAATTTGTATCGGTAATTTCGCTTTAGACTGCATCTAAAATAACTCAAAATATATACCTACTGATTTGCCGTATTCAATATGAGCATTTGGCTGTAATTGATACTTCGCCCGTTCCTAGGTGATTCAGATGCACCGAGCCATAACCCTTTACTAGTACCCACAGGTACAATATAATGTATTTAATAAATTGTGTGTTTCAACTTTTTTTGTCACACAAAACTTAATTACTGTAATATAATTGTGTATAGCCATGAAAATAAACGCGTTATCTATCTATCTATTTAATTTCCAAATTTTTCGAATTTGTTTCTTACATTTATATTTTTTTTAACAGCGCTGATCCGAACTATCGGTCGGCAGTGATCAACACGAACGTGATAGTGAAGAGTACAGGTGAAGTGACTTGGCTAAGTCACGGTATCTATGTGTCCGTATGCGATATAAATGTGGAGCAGTTCCCATTCGATATCCAGCTGTGCACGATGAAGTGGGCTTCCTGGACGTACGACGGTTTTCAGGTGAGGAGTTAATGAGTACTTTCAATTATTCCTTTTTTTAATACAAGCTTTTCCCTGAAATGGTTTAATCGCGTGTGGCTTTGAAGAATTTTTACATTTTTCAGTATTCAAAACTTGTTTTATTTAATGAGTAGTGTGTGTGACAATATAAGAAACAATGTTGTCCATGGGCTGCAGTCTCGACAGAGTTTGCGATCATAATCTCACCGCATTCAGTCGCTAACTCATAATGATCGTAAGTTTACGACTATTGTAAGTCGCTACGGTTAAATTTATTGTTAGGTAGGTATCGATAGCAACTGTCAAAGTAGCGATATTCGTTAGTTTCGTAGCCATCGAATTTGACAGCTCGTTCAATGAACTTTGCGATCGCTACTTAACGATCGCTATAAATATCGAGATCGCACGCTGTGACGCTCTGGAAATCGTTAGTAAAATTCTGAAGATGTAGTTAATCATTTTTCAAAACTATATGCAATAAATCTTCAGTATTTATTTCATCTTAATTATTCATAATACATTTTTTTTATTATAGTATGAAGTTATTATTTTTTCTCAGTGATAAAATATCATCAAACAGTGAAAAATTAATATGGGTGTAATGGGAGTAGCACTTAAGACTAAGGAGAATGTAATATCAGGTAACATCTGAGCCCATAGTTTGAATACGAAACTAGTTGTTAGTGCAGTGTGCTCGCATATTAAAGTTAATTAATTCTTAATCCTTCTATAATATTTTTAATATCTACGGTATTATATATACCTATATTTTTTGTAGGGCTGATGTGCATTACTAAAACACTGCCAACAAACATCTTTCGATTAATATACTCTTATTTAACACAAAACCTACAGTAATATAAAGCGATTGATGATCAACTCCTACTTCCATTAATAACTATTAATTTTCTTAATAAAAATGCATAAAAAAAACCACTTTGTCCCTGGCATTCTGAGATGGTTCTCGAACCCATGACCTTTCACAAATTACAATTATTACGATCAATTGAAATATTATGAACTGTTTCTGTACAAAATCGTGGTAAAGAGGTGATATGCAGATACCATAATGGTAGATTTATTATTTAGAATCTCTTATGGATATATCAAACCTATTGTGCTCGAGCGAAACTTTTTTTTCGTCACTAATTTCACTTTCGATTTGAATTAAACTATTGGAAAACAAACCATTTTCCGTTCACGAAGTTGTTTTAGTCATAATACAGTACGTGCTTCCTTTAAACAAAACAAAGTAACATTCCGCTAATATTGTTTGTCTGGTACACAGAACATACTCTTGTTATCCGAGCTATCAATCACAAAAGTAAACGAAAAAAAATCTATTTCAAATAAATCTTATTGTGAAATTCGTGAACCTAAAACAAATTCCCAGGTGCTTTAAAAACTGTTGATTTATGTCTGAATTTGATTAATAGGCTTCCCTTGATCATATTGCGAAGTGAGACCATTAATTAGTGTAGGTCTTGACAGAAGGGGATTCCCCGGACGCATGTTCGGATGCTGGTAATTAGAGAGAGGGACATCTGATAGATTTAAAATTTATGACGTGATTCGTTTCTGGAGTTATTACTTATATGTTATAAATTGTAAAAAAATAAGGTATGGAAGGTAAAAGATATGATTTTTATACGTTTTTCGAAAAACATTAAATGTTTAGCAATCAATACATGATACAGTTAAATTAAATATAATCAATAAACTTCATTTAAACTAATTGATAACAATTAAGTTTCAAATTGCATTTAGAAAAAGTAAATTTTTTTGTTTAACACCTTTGGGAGTTTTAAATCTAAATAAAATTGTCATTTCTTAGCTTTCGTGCTAATGTGCATATATGTAAATGAGAAGAAAACACTGGGCAGACAATGAAACAAATAGAGATAAGAGATAGTGTATTGTGCGATATAATATCGAATCACCTTTGTTTATCGTAAATTTTCACAATTTCACAACTGGAATACAAAACGTATAGTATAATAATCGACTTTTCCTGTAAGACAAGAGTATTTTACGAAAAGAAGGAAATTGTTCCTTTTAGCCTCTGTAATTTACCAATTATAAATGTTTTTATCAAATTATACAAAATCTAATTTACCAATTATAAATATTTCCATCGAAATATAATTTCACGCTTTAACTCAATTCCCTTAAAAATACATTACAATTTAGATCATAATATAGTTTTATTATTATTATTTCAGTTTGAAATAATTTCCTTATTCAAAATTAATTTGTTAGTGATTGTTTATATTAGCACATTTTCAAGTGTATCAAATTAAAGTGGCATTATTTTCTAATTCCTGAGTTGAACTTTTCAGAAAGGGAACATCTTTTCACGTCTATCCTTTCAACAAAAAGCTGTGCATCAATCGATATATATACAACGAGTTAATTATAATTTATATTACCCGTAGGTTTCTGTAGGTGTAAGAATTTTCATGATCAGCCCTGCGATTCTGTAAAAATCCAAACCCGAATTTGAATCCACTCAGGTGTTCGAATTCACCGAGTTGAATTCAAAAAGCGGAATCCGCTCAACCTTGTATTGGTTATAACGTTTCGTGGCATAAGTAAAGTGAGTTTCCTAATGACATAGGAATAGAATATCTAAGACAAGTATATTCTATCAATTTTGTTTTGTATTTTTATACAAAAAATGGAGTCAATAGAATTTCTACACTAAATGACATGAATTCGAGTTCGGGTCTGGATTTTTACAGAATCGCAGGGCAGATCAGTATTTCCAAAGATTAACTTCTATAAACAAATTTAAAACTTTACCTCTTTTTAATATAAGTATAGACGGCGATTTCAGTTACCGAGGACCTCGTACATTATGGCGGTTTCATGGTGTCATTTACTTTTTACATTTCTGAAGCCCCGGATTCCCGGAGTAGGGCGATGGCATAGTGGAAAAGCGCCGCGGCCTGTGATTGCTGTTGTTAAGCGGGTTTCGCAAATGTCTGCCACGGGATGGGTGACCAAAAAAATTTTATCTCGAGCTACTCCGTGCTTCGGAAGGCATGTTAAGACATTGGTCCCGAATGCATTTGTAGTCGTTAATACCCTCCAATCCGCATTAGGCCAGCATGGAGGGTCATGGCATATTCTTCTTAACCATCCTTAGGGAAGGCTTGAGCCCCTGCAGTGGGGACATAAAAGGGCTGATGATGAATCTTGGTTGGATCAACCTATGAAAGAAAAATGAAAATAGCCTTCTCCACAAGTATATTGCTTCAGGTTTCGGTGTTTTGTGATACCTTCGTTGTTTCAGATTTCTGTGGTAACAAGTACTTTAGTTACCTAATTTGGTATTTGAGAATGTAGTTTAAAAATGATTATAATTAAATTTACTCTACATATAGATATTACCAATTTAAACTCAAGTTGAAGGCGCTCCCTGAAAATATAACACTGGCATTTAATTTGAATATTGAAATTAATTACAAAGGATATTTTGAGAATGCTTATCGTTTTTGATAACATCGGCAAGCCATTCTAAAGGAAATATTAATAAACAATAAATGAATACTCCTAGGTATATCGTTATTACTGGAACTAGATGGAAAGCTAAAGGAATTCATAGTGATTGATGGACATAAAGAAAAGGAAGGATATCTTAGATAGGGGAGACATCATGAATGGACATGTAAGCTGAGATCAGGTGGTCATTCGACAGACTGAATAAAGCTGAATACATAAATTTTTCTTCCCTTTTTATATTGTGCAAGCTGCTATTTCTGAAATCCCTTTTTTTGTTGTTTATTCTTTAGAGAGATAACTTAATGCATCCTTTAGGATCTGTAACCCTCATAAAAATCATGTCCATATTATTATAGTAGCTGTTTTCCCGATGCTTCGCTATCGTAAATTATAGCCTATGTAACCCGCGTATGATGTGGGTTCCTGTAGGCCGTAGTTGAAAGAATTTAAAATCGTTCTTGTCGTTTTAGAGCTCATTCAATGAAAAAAATATTTTTTAATCTTTTCTCTTCATAATATTAGTATAGAGAAGCGGAATAAGGTAAACTAAGTCTATGAATGTAATCTCAGTGTGGAAATGGAATATATTGAAGTTAATTTCGTGTTAAGATCGGTAATTTGGATTGTGAATTAGCAGGAGCCCTACTTTATGTTTCTGTAAAAAAGAAATTTTGGATTAAAGTAATTTTCTGCGCTTTAAAAATATTAGTAGATATTACCTACGTTGCCTTTTAAAATTTTGAAAATATTGGTAGTAAAGTCGTACGAGCATTTCGAAAATGTACGAAATTACGTAGGCCTGAATTTTAAAATAACCCTAATTTTAAAATAATTGAAAACAATAAAAAAAATTAAAAGTAACTGTAATATAAATAACTTTATGTAACAATTGAAAAAGTTAATTTTAAAAATTATTTTTATAAAAAATGTTTTGGTATACAATTTCTTCTCGATTCATTTTTATTTCTCTTTCTTTTTTTAACACAGTTGTGGTATTGATATTTTGCTCTTTTTCGACTATGCTATCATCTATTGATATTTATCTTAATAACTCGCTTTCTTGACGTTTAACTGTAGTTTTATTTATAATGGGATGAAAGTAGTAGTCAAAGCAAGACTCCGTTAGAAGCGTAAAAAAAAATTACTTACCACCTCACTCTGAGAACTGCTATTGCATTGAATTTGAGAGCTCAAAGTAAGGTTTCTTGTTCTATCTTTCTGTCTTGATTATTTCAATGCAATGTGCAGAAGCTACGTCGTTTGTATTTGGAACAAAAAAATAGTATCCTATTTTAAATAAAAAGTTGGTTATTGTTTTGAACAACAGATGACTTTTGTGAATTGAAACAAAGCTTGTGTTTTGGTCATTACCTTAATGGAAGCGGTATTACATAAAAATAATCCGGTCGCAGAACTTAATGAAAGAGATAACGGTGCATGCTCTTGTTCAGTTTTAAACGATACAACAACGAATGTTATATAAATATTAACGTTTCAATTCTCATTAT